GACTAAATAGCCATGGAGGCCATGGCGGTGCGTCAGGGTCACCCTGATTGTACATTGACTGGAATACCCATCGCGTGTACTGCTGCCGAATCCTGGCCGGATGCTTCTTTGGAGGTGAGTACGTGGGAGAGTAGTTTGATGGGCGTTTGGTAGCGCCATAATAGCATGCCGGGCATTGCTCGCTTAACATATACGTTCCAGACCCATGCCGTATCAATGCCGAGTGCTTCTCTGGAGGTGAGTAGGCGGCATTGGCTCGATTACCGTGCCTGGGTGTTTGGTAGCCCTCCGACGCCGCTCGCTTAACATACCCACCGACGTTCCGCTCGCTGCTCGCTTAATATGCCCCGCCCTCCGCTCGCTTAATACCGCCGCCCTCCCGCTCGCCGCTCGCTTAATATGCCCCGCCCTCCGCTCGCTTAATACCGCCGCCCTCCCGCCCGCCTCTCGCTTAATCCTCCCGCCTCCCGCCCTCCCGCCCGCCGCTCGCTTAATCCTCCCGCCCTCCCGCCCTCTCGCCTGCTGCTCGCTTAATCCTCCCGCCCCCGCCCGCTGCTCGCTTAACCCGCTCCCCCTGCTCCCGCCTTCCTGCCTGCCCGGCTGGCCACTTCCCCTCGATGTTGGCTTATTTTCCACAGCCCACTGTTTGCTTCATGGCGTACATGTAACTCTGGCTCACCACACTTTCTCAAATTGGCTCAACTCGTGCTCGCATCCTTTGTGTTGTCAATCACAGATCCTCACACAGTACTGGTCTCGGACTTCCCGCCGTTGACGCAGCTGTTGATGCGGCTGTGAACGATTTCGCACGCAAAACTGATTGCGTCACGTGCACGGTTGAGCAAACACTATGTACGCTGTCCATGACGAATGCTCGAAAAGTCGCCAGAAAGGTATATATTACATGTAGTGAATGATTTGAATACAAATATACGTGCTACATTACCAGAACGTCTCGTCGTCGCTGTCATCATCGGAGGCTCCTTCGCGAAGAGCACGTGACGCGTTCGCGGGTGAAGCGGATGGGTTGTCATATTCGGAATGGCGGGCAGTGTCCATGGCGTCGGCAGCATCGAAAGAGGCGGGGAGGGCGCCAGCGGCAGGGGTGGGGACGGCTCCGGCGGTATTGGAGGAAGTCGCAGCGGCTCCTGCTATGGTGGAGGAGGTGGACGAATCTGGGACGGCGCCAGCGGCTCTGGACGAAGCCGAGATGGCGCCAGCAGTATTGGACGAAGCGGGGACACCGCCGGCGGCGGTTGAGGAAGCTGCAACAGCCCCTGTGGCATTAGCAGGGGCGAGGACGTCGCCCGCATTGTTGGAGGGGTTGGGGACCATGCCGTCGGCGTTGGACAAAGCCGGGACGGCGCCGCCGGTGTTGGACGAACTCGAGAAGGGGCCAGTGGTGTTGGACGAAGCTGTAACAGTGCCAGCAGCGTCGGATGAAGCCGCGACGGCACCAGCAGCATTGGAAGAGGTGGGGACCGGGTCAAGTTGCGTAGTGGAATTGTATTCCGCGAGGGCCGAGGCAATAGAGATTCTGTCTTGATCCTTCTTCAAGCGTGTACGAGGTTTCGCATACTTCAGGTAGGGCCCAACCCAATCCCTGCCCAGATTGAGTTCCAAAAGCGTCGGGACCCATGTTGATGCGAAGTTGCGCAGCTGTTGTCGGAGGATGGCAGCTTGTTTGTTAGCGCACCCGTCTAGGCCAGCCTTGACATCAGATGATACATCCTCACGACGTGCCGGCTGCGTTAACCACCAATCCGCCTTCCAGTCCAACCAAACTAAAGTTCGTCGCATCTCCTCGACGAGCAGCTCGACTTCTTCGGACCATCGCGCAGCGCGCGCGTCAGTCTTCGCCCATTCCGCGCGAATTTGCTCGTTCAACTCGGTTTCGGACATCGATTCCGCGGAAACAGGGCGGGTGTTTGGCACTGGGGTCGTCCAGATCCAAGACTTCATGTACTGTTGCTGTTTGCGGACACGGGCGTTTGTTGGCTTGGCTTTGTTAGTATCGCGTACCTGCCCCCGAACGCGCTCTTCGATCTCGTCCTCTTCATCCTTGCCGGGACCACTAACATCCGCATCCTTCAACTCCTTCAGGTACGACGTCCAAGGCCCTCCGGGATCCAGCGAGGATAGCGCGTTGAAAGCGGCGCGATACCTGTTCTTCTGAGTCTTGATCTTGTCAAGGAACGCATTGAGGATAGCGCGCGAACGGGTGTTTGTTGACTGTCCGACACCGTAAACGTTCTTGCGCAGTCGGGCGTGCAGTCCTTGATACACGCGACGAAGTCGCCGAAGATCCGCGAGGGCGTCTTCGGCTTGGGCGATTCGCATCCGACGTTCGATATTGATGATGTCCGAAAGACAAACGGCCTTCCGAACCTCGGCTTTGATGGAAGAAGGCAGGAGAAGCGGTACATTCTCAGGGAGGTGGTCCGCGAGTGTGCCGTTGTCCTCTGACTGGCTGGCATTGTCGCCATCCAACACGTCGCGAACGTTTCGGCATGTCGGCATGTAGGTCGCCTGAACCTTGAAGAATTGATTGAGGCCGTGCCTGAGGGAAGTTTGCAATTGCTGGACGGAGATTCGTTGAGAGGCAGTGCGTTGCGATGTCGTAGCAACGCGCACGCGTATTCCTCGTCTATGAGCAGTAATATATCAGAAGCTGTCCACAAACAGATCGGAACAGCTTACTGCTTCTCTTCCAGGTCCAGGCCCATCTTGATGAACTCCGAGGCCGAAACCTTCTGGAGAGGGTTGACCGGTATCGCAGCCTCTTCTGTCAGCAGTTCCTCACGCAATGCATCCATATTATTAGCTGTATGCGGCGTTAGCAAGAAACGAACATCACAAATCCACGGATACTGTACCTTTCTCTGGCTCGGCGAACGGGTCCGGCTGGGAGTGATCACGTTGCCACGCAACAACCATCGCGCGCCATTTCGCAACAACCTCGGATGGAAACGTTGCAGAGAAGTCGTCGGCAAGCTCCTGGTAAGCATCACGGAGCTGGACAGCCTCCGGTAGATGGGTCGCGAAGTGGTGACCTGCCGAACGGTCAACAGGAATACACGTCGAGGTCATGACAACGTACCAAGATTCACCCGCTTACGGAAATTGCTGCCACCCATCATGTCGGTGAGGACCATTTCTCGAAGTCCTGGGCCCATCTCCCGGGTGCTTGTAGCCGCAATTCCGAGGTATGCCCAGATTTGCTCGATCGTCTCGCCGTGGGTCCGCGCAACGCCCCTGTTGACATTGAGCGAGAATTTGGTTTGACAAGCGAGGCCGTGATCGTAGATATGAAGCTTGGGAATGAAGGCCCGAATGACCAAGAACCAGGGGATAATGAGTAGTAATGGAAGTAATGCAAAGCGGGCGCGCATGTTGACGCTATAGGCACACATGATGTCATACAAAATGTTCACGGTTTGTATGTCTTTCCCAACGAGAGCGATAACGGACGCGAGAATGAAATCGATATTTGCGTAACTAGGTACATGATCAGACAACAGTTGAGCGCGCAATTGCAGAAACCCACCGTTCCCCTTTTTGGAGATCCCCGACACCATTCGGTAGTATCATCGCATGGCGTGAGCAGATGACGCCGGCAATACCTGTCGCAATGGTCTTCGAATTACCGCGAGTCAATGCCTGCTGAACGGCGTTGTGGTGACTGCCGCATTGTGACACCTAACAGTAGTAATGAGCAATGAACGGCAAACGGAAGGAAAGACGCACCTCCTGCGCATCGGTCGCTTTCCCGACATGTTTGAGGTATTCTTCCGAGTCCACAAAATATGACCACCCGGATCCGAAACGCACGTCTTGTATACTGCGATCCTTCAATTTGAGCTTGAAGTTCGCGTCGATAGCGAGAAAGAGCGCATAAAGCCAACTGAAAACGGCATCAACGGCATGCAAGACATTAGTGAGACCATACATACATTTGATCCGGCGGCTTCTTGTCCCAGTCAGGCGGCAAGTTGATTCCAGGATGGGGACACGGCGGGCATGCTACGGTGAGCGCACCGCGTGGCGTGGACCGTACACCTTCAGGAAGTGGGATGTAAACGCTCCCTCCCCAGTGCAAGCTCTTCAAGTGCCGCCATACCCGGGTTGCGAACGAAACGGCGGGACGATAATACTGAGGTATGATTTAGAAAAACAAGGTATAGCTAGATACGTGTAACGAACCTTCATGGGGTGTAGACCGGCGTTGTCTCCCTTGAACTGGACTACCTGATAGTAGTCCCAAAGCGACGTCTTCGCAGTCAAAGATAAGAGATGAAAAGTCTTGAGGTAATCGAACGTGATGGCGGTGCGAGGAGACTGCCACGTTGCTGGCATCCATTTCGTGCGCAACAGCTGGATGTCTTGGTCGACGGCTGTGCAGCCGCAAAAGAGGAGTTTGACAACGTGCGGCCCATTTGAATGCACCACGGTAAACTTGGAATGAGCCGGGATGGGTGAGGAACACGTTTCTCCGGGGCGATGGCCGAGTTGGACGACCAGTCCATGATCTCGAAGCCAAGCCCGCTCGAAGTGAGTCCCTGTCCATTTCTGGGGAAAGTTAGTATTGGACATGCAGGCTAGCATGTCACTGACCTCAATATGATGCAGCGGGAGATTCTGGTGAGTGGCGACCATGCATCCCGAGCACAGTAGGTCACCGTTTAAGCACTCGCGGCAGCGCAAAACTCCCTCTTGCATGCCGCATTGGCACGGGGCCGAAAGCTGTATCCCATCCATCCGAATCAACTCCTCCAGCCAACGCTGGCGACGGACGTCTACCCACGCTTGGATATGGGCCTGTGAAAGTGACTTAGCATACTCGAATGCGATATACTTAGAAACACGCACGGATAATGAGGAGAACGTGCCACCTTCGTCGTTTTCGTTGTTCTCGTTGGTTGACTCAGGGTCAACGGGAGGAACGGGGTCAATGTCGATGAAAAACTCGCTGAGGTTCTGTAGGGAGTTCGCATCCAGGACTGCGCCAGGCAATACGGATGCAGGTTTGGATAACGAGGGTACAGTGGACATGATCGTCCGCGATCCTATCTGTCCGCTCGCGGTCTTCCGGAGCAGTGATGTGCGGACGGTCCGAGCAACGTCCTTCTTGACTTTGGGAGGTGGCCGCATGTACAGCTTGCTGCGTTTGGACGACGAGCCGTCGTCGGAAGCCGAACGTTTGTTATTCATGCTGAATGGGCTCGATGGAGGTACATTGTGACAAGGTGTAGGCTATTGCTTGTTGACGCAGGACGGAGAGACGTGGCAAGTCACGCGTGTCGAGCCGCTCTCGGCTACCCGTGGCTAACATGCCGGTGATAACAGATATCTATGAAAGCCTGATAAGTATTCATGGAAATCGAAGCCGCACAGATATATGAAAGCCGTGTAAGTATTCACGAAAGCTGCACAAGAAGAATCGGAAGAGAAGTATCGTGTTTGCTTACCTTTAGCCGTAGTACAGGATGAAACGGCATATCGGGGCAGATCTCTAGCTAACAAGTTTGAAATAGATGCGTTATCGAGTCTTCCAGTGGATCGCTCGTTGAGGGAATGGATAGCCTAGGTAATCGTCAACATCGTACATTTTGCGATGTGAATACAACTCACCAACTTGGAGGAGTATGGAACATGATACCTTGCGATCGACTGAAGCACGAGAGATGCCCGCAAGATCTATCAACAAGTTCACAACGCCGTTTGCCAAGAATACCGGACACCAGTGAGATGCAGCATGTCGACGTGTGGCTATTTGGGATTCGTGCAAGATCGCGCTCTTCAAGCGTAGAGTCGAGACTGCCGTGCGGTTGTCTAAGATATGGTGAGCATCTTGATTGGATTGCTGTTGTGGTTGAGACGCAGAGGTGTGTTGCCGTGGTGTGCATACAACTCAGTGAACACACCTACGGTCATCTCCAATCACAACGATCTGTTCCTAATACGCATCTTTCATCGGCAGGATTGACCTCAATCCTCATCGCGCACATGCTGGACACTTCGATTGTTCAAGATACACCGGTCTCGCCGGCTTCAACAGCCACGAATGGTGTTCCACAACGACCATCCGCCATCAACAACTCGACTCTCCATGTCGGGACTTGGCACCTCTTCCTCAGGCTAACAAAACACAAACTATCAGGGTAACGTCTCGACAATTGAATTATCTACAGACTGCCCAACACTGTATATGTAGCTGATATCCGGTTGAGCAACAACTACGGGATTATCGGGCGACTCGTACGCCTCCCGTTGATCAATTTGTTCTTGTCTCACAAACACGACCGTGGTGAGTAAGGCAAATTGTTCAACGAGTCATATTTTCATCAAGACGGGCGTTACAGTTCGTAAATCGTAAAGACATAGCGGCGCGTGACAACATATCCTCGATATCACATCAACAACACAATGCGCAAAATCACTGCGGCGGGGGGATTTGCGTGAGCGGAAGGATATAGGGCACAAACATCGGGTCGCGGGTGACCTCGACCCAGTTGTTGTTCAGCCGAACCAACACAGACCCGGAGAGGAAGGCCTCGTCGAAGATCTCTTGCGCCTCTTCCTGTGTGTCGAACACATTGCACATGGACTCGAAGGGGAGGGTGTTGGCCCTTGCGATGTGCCTAACACAGCGTCAACAAGGAACACCAGCACAAAATGGTGTACTCACCAGCCTCTCACGACTCCGACCTTGGAGCCCATTGTGATTGCGTACCAGCGGAGATGCGACGGGATGGGCTGACCAGAAGTGCCCTGCGCAGGTGCAGGGGTCTGGTCTCTAGCAGCTGCCGCGTTTGGGTTTGCATTGCCAGGAGACAGCATCGGCATCCGCGTGGGCGTTGCAGGGTGCGAGAACGATGCCGCCGGTTGCGCTGGCGACGCCATCGGTGTGGTTCCGACTGGAAGACGTGTCACGGCGCGCGACGGACCAGAAGGACGACCCGACATTGAGGGAGAACCTATAGTCTCGATGCGAACTCCTCTGGACTTGAACGAGGGCTGAAAGAATGGTTAGTAAGTCATCAGGACAGCTACATCGAATAAGGCTCACCATTTCGTAGTAAGGGCGATCCACGTCGATCGGACTGCAAGTATCGTCTTCAGCATCTGAAGACATCGGCGTCGACAGGCAGGGCTCTACATTATCCACAGCACGCTGCTTCCCACCGGCGGCACGAGAAGTTGTGCCAGCACCGAGCGTCGGATGCATGCCCGGGCGAACGCGAGCGGGGGACTTAACAGTGGCTTTCTGGCCAGAACGTGGAGAAGTGGGAATCGTTGGAGTGGGGAGAGGCGGCTCCGGCTCCTCATTTAGCTCTCCCAGAACATCCGCCCCAGGTGCGTCTAACATGCCTAGTCGTGCATTGAGAATCGAAGACATGCTCATTGCACTGATACTTACCTTCAGCTAGCTCAAGCAAGCTTCGCATTTGATGAATCAAAAGGCGGATCTGTCCAACAAGCATTGAGGGCCGGGCTCAAATATGAACCGTGAGTGAACACACCTCTCTCTCGCTCTTGCTCTGATTCACCATCGTGTCCTATTCAAGACGTGACCCGGGCGAAGAGTCGGGGCGTGGAGAGGAAGAAAGAGCGACGAACCACAGCAGGATGGTACGTTTATTTAATAATTTTTTGTTCACGTGCGGAGCTATCTTCTCACGAAATGTCCCTCCTGCCTCGCTCGCCCGGCACCTTTTCTCTCTATGGGCTCAAAAAGACGTACTAAGACGCCTCAAGCAAGGTTTCTAGCCTCATGGATACCGACTTATGTACAATGCCAGTCTACGCGCGCGTTCCAGGACATGTGGACCGCCCTCGTGGTGGAGTATTACACCAAATTTCCCATAACCCTCACAGAAGCCGAGGTTGAGAAGGCGAACGGTAACAACGCCGACGCAATACAGGCCCGTAAGAAAAAGGACATGAAAGTCAGTTCTTCCACACCGTGTTATTGAAGGGTTCGCTAATGACTCACGCACAGTACATCAAAGGCTTCTTTACAAACGAGACACGGCCTGGTGGCACGGTCAAAGGCGGCCGCAAGCTTATCATCAAAATATGCCGTGCTGCTCTCGCACAGAAGAAGAAGCGCACGCGCATGCCACTGCGGTGGCAGGCATACTCGAAATACGTCAACTTCCGCACGAACGACAACCTCAAGCTCGAATTTCGACAGGCGTACGAGGCCCACTGCCAAGCACTTCCGCCAGATACTGCACCACCCAGCGAGCTCACATACCGGGGGAAATGGCTTACCAGCCGCCTCGATGCTGAGCCCGACAACGTAAAAGTCATCGTCGAGGAGTTACGTCAAGCGAGGGCTACGTGTCGGCTTGATGACTTGGGCAAATCCTCCGCGGAGCCTGAGAACGACAGCGAAGGAAATGATGGTGGCCAGGACGATGAAGGCGAGGACACTGAAGGCGATGACAACGAAGGCGGCGAGGACGAGCAAGCCAGCGACCTCGTTTTCAAACACCCGATGTATGATCCGGTATCATATCAACAGTGAGTCTAATTACTTCGTAACTTCTGACGACAAGCTGACTTATTGGCAGGCTCTGCGAAACTGTCCCGAACATTGTCACATCGGTCCTCGATTCTTTGACCGTTGAAACCGGATGGTCCTTTTGTGTCTTTGCCTGCGGTCCTGAGCCGAAGTACGGTGATACAGCGCAGTCCTATAGGTATGTGGTCTTTCCCTGCGTTATATAGCGTCTAACTCATATCTGATGTAGTTACGCGAACGGTGGAACGTCCGAACTTGCGAATATCATAAATGCACGGAACGCGGCGTGGCAGGCGTTTCAGACCGAGTGGGATCAATGGGCCGCTTTGCGATATCGTGCGTATATTTTCTTGATATCCTCTCTTACGTTGCTAATTGATTGTGCAGCAAACGGGTGGAATGGCATCCTGGAAGCTATTGACAAACGGATGGCCTCCGGTATGACCAGAGACGAGGCCATCGCCGACATAGCAACTATCTGCGAGGAGCCCCAACCGGAGCCGCCAAAGAAACACCGCCGTAAGACCACTGCCGCCACTGCTTCGCCTTCCCACATCGATTCTGGCCAATCACCCGATGACGGGCAGGGCTTCGCCGATGGATCCTCTGCGTTGGACACCAGACCTCGCCCTCGCCCTTGCCCGATTGCTGGAGCAAGACCCTCGTCCATCCCTTCTCACGAAGAGTCGCCTACTGCACCTGAAGAGCCCCGAATCCCTGGCAATGCAAACGCGTCGGACGCGTCGGGAAACGTGTCGGACGCGTCGGGAAACGCGTCGGACGTGTCGGGCAACGCATCGGACGCGTCGGGAAACGCGTCGGACGCGTCGGGAAACGCGTCAAACACGTTGGGCAACACTTCGGATGCATCGGACAACGCGTCGAGCACGTCCAGCAATGCGCCGCCTCGCAATGCGCTGCTGCTGTCTCGCAGCGCAACTCCACCGCCTCGTGACACAACTCCTCCACCGCGCAATGACTCGCCGGCACCACGCAACGTGACCCCACCGCATCGTGACGCGACTCCTCCGCCACGCACCGACTCGCCGGCGCCTCGCAATGACTCGCCGGTGCCCCGCAATGCGACCCCACCGCCTCGTGACGCGACTCCTCCGCCGCGCAATGACTCGCCGGCGCCGCGTAATGCGACCCCGCCGCATCGTGATGCGACTCCTCCGCCGCGCAACAACTCGCCGGCGCCCCGCAACAACTCGCCGGCGCCCCGCAACAACTCGCCAGCGCCCCGCAACAACTCGCCGGCGCCTCGCAACAACTCGCCGGCGCCCCGCAATGCATCTCCGCCGCCCGATTGTGACAGGAGCACCGAGGCCGCCGTCTATGTGCCCACCTGGCAGACATGGGTCCAGGGCGCAGTTGACAGCTGGCGGTCAGTACTGCTCGATATCGGCGCCGATCATCTTCAAGAGACTATCAATCCACTCCTCGATGCGTGGGTCGCATTCGAGGCCGCGCGAGGTTATACCGACGGGAACCGCAACATGTCGACAACCTCCCGGCCTAGCCAGGTCCACTGGTGGATGGTCCAAACCAAGCGCGACCCGGACAACATCCCCGACATAATCCTGTTGCGCGAATTCGTCGTTCGGTGGAGAGAGTGGTTGCGAGCCTTGTCCCCTGACTGGTGCCTTGCGGATGGCCGCATCAGCTGTGTTGCCCAGGTGCCAGAGGATGCGGACTGGAGATATCTCACATACAGTGGCTCCAAAGGCATGATGCTCGTGGTCGCCTCCGTGGTATGGTGGGGAACGGTCGTCTCGTATCATCGTGAAGGAATTCTTGCCGACTGGATAGCAGCTGTGAAGGAGGTCACCTGGATTCTCCACCACGCCGCACCATCGTCTACTTCCGCCTCTACCTCAGCTTCTCGCACCTCTTCCACGAACCTCAAGAAGAAGAATACTCAGAAGAGGGTGGCCGAGACAACCGGACTGCAGACAAGGTCGCGATCGTCTACCGCAACGGCCAAGAAGCGCGGACCTAAGCGGGCAGCGGACAAGACTGACATTTCCACACGCTCTACGAAGAAGCCGCGTCACAAATGACCTACTATCTCGAACAGTATTGTATCGCCTGTCCTCATAATTGTCTACGTCATACCAACAAGGAGTGACGTGAGAATCTTGCACGTGCGCAACCATCAGCCAGGTGCGCCTGGCCTAGAGCTGTGTCAGTGTTGCACGTGAGCATCAGCGGGCAGGGCAACTTACTAAGCCACCACCACCGTGCCGGCGCGCCGGTGCGCTAAGCGAGCGTCGGGCAGGCACGGTAACTTACTAAGCCACCACAGTGCCGGCGCGCCGGTGCGCTAAGCGAGCGTCGGCGGGCGTACTGACAGAGCGCTGTGCGGGTATGCTGAGCTAATTCCAGAGGGCAGTGTGAACCAGTGCTAAGCAAGGCCAGCTGAGCAAACAGGAGAGCGGGAGGAGTAGTTAAGCGAGCAACGGGCTGGAGGGCGGGAGGATTAAGCGAGCAGCGGGCGGGAGGGCGGTGGTTTATTAAGAGCGGGGCAAATTAAGCGAGCGGCAGGCGGGAGGGCGGGAGGATTAAGCGAGAGGCGGGCGGGAGGGCGGCGGTATTAAGCGAGCGGAGGGCGGGGCATATTAAGCGAGCAGCGAGCGGGAGGGCGGGAGGCGGGAGGATTAAGCGAGAGGCGGGCGGGAGGGCGGCGGTATTAAGCGAGCGGAGGGCGGGGCATATTAAGCGAGCGGCGAGCGGGAGGGCGGCGGTATTAAGCGAGCGGAGGGCGGGGCAGTATTAAGCGAGCAGCGAGCGGAACGTCGGTGGTATGTTAAGCGAGCGGCGTCGGAGGCTACCAAACACCCAGGCACGGTAATCGAGCCAATGCCGCCTACTCACCTCAGAGAAGCACTCGGCATTGATACGGCATGGGTCTGGAACCGTATACTGTTAAGCGAGCAA